GTCCATAGAGAAAATCAATGATTTTACCTCAGCTACCTAACCTCAGCTCGAGTAGCTTTTCATCCGCTGCTGCCTCTTGTGGCCAGTTTGTGTAACTGACATCAATCCTGAGATAAACGTACACTAGACGTTTAAGATACTTTTTTTTACCTTTTCTGATAATTGCACCAATATTTTTTTTTACCCCACCTTCAGAGCCAGGTTAATGTGTTCTCTGTCCTCATTGGTCAGCAGCTGGCTATGATGTACGTTGACCACGAGGCCCAGTTTGGCTGCAGCCTATGAACTGGGACACAGTGCGTCTCAGAATGGTTCTGGAACTTTACGTCTTTCCTGTCTGTACCTGGACCTTCTCCTGCAGGTCGTCTGTTATCGCTGAGTCAGCAGGTTGATCACTGTGTAGATTAACAAACATATCACCCTGTGTTTGTGCAGTAGCAGGAAGTCAACACCAGGGTTTTTTTTCTTCTTCTTTGAATGAAATGATGTTTGTCAGTCGGAGTGACTTTTTTCTTCTCTTCTCTCTTACCTTCCTGCTCAACAAAGATTGGACTCTGAGCCTCAGACTGAGTGAACAGCTGAGCTCATTCCACTGGTCCATGACTCTCTGATACAGCCAGGAGATTGAGGAATGGGACTGGAGTAATCCCAGGTCACCTTCACACCACATCAATCTCTGCAGGCCCCGGCGCTCTGCTCTCCCTGCTCCTCCTCCTCCTCCTCCTCCTCCTCCACTCATTAATTCCCAGTTTTCCATTTATCTTGTCTTTTTTAGCCTTTTTTTTCCCCCTTCTCTCGACTCAAATCCTTCATCTTCTTCTAACAAAGCCAAACACTGTATTATTCGTCGGGTCACAGTGAAAGAAAGTCACTTTTCTAACACAGCCTTTTATTTTCCTCTGTGAAGAATCTTTCAGGGACATTATGGACTGAACTGATCAAACGTTGTCCTTCAACTAACTGTCAACGTCAACTCCTTCATGGACGGGACGTCGTCATTATTGACCATTTTCTTTGTTCAAATCTCCTGCAGTTTATACTTTTGTAGGATTTTTGAAAAAGTGGGAGAATTTAACAATTACAATTGTTAGTTATTTGTCCTTCAGTTTTGGTTTAGATGCTTCAGTTGTAGAGTATATATTTTATTTTTTAAATATTGTATGCTTTTCTTTCTTCTCTAGTGATTCCAAATGTAGACCCCTCTGTTCCAGTGTTAGAAACCTGATGTTGAGGTGGAACAGAGTCTGAGACTAGGATCACACTCTCTGCTGTGATCTGGTGATCTGGTCCGTACCAGACCAGCCCAGTGTGGACCGGTGTGTTTGTGAAGGCTGTTTCAGCTTCAGGTGTTTCTTTTCTCTTGTTTTTATTAGCATCATAGAAACATTGAATTTGACTGGGTGTTCTGTGTGTGTGTGACTTAATGAATGCATGATTGAGTGAATGAGTTCAGAGCACGAACCTTCTCTTTTAGACTAAGCTCTAACAGATTACACGTGTGTTGACTCAGTTCAGCAGAAACACCCACACACACACACACACAGGGGGCGACTGTCACACTGCCTGCTCTGTATGATCATGAATACTGGATTACCCAGAGGACTTCTGGGTAATCAACAACCTCCATCCTCGGCACGTAAATCCAAACAGGCTCTTTAGATCGGGTTCAGAGATGGAAGATCTGATTTATAGATGAACTCACTTCACTCTCAGCTCTTGTTTCCTCCATTTTCTCCTTAATGAATGACTTTGTGTCACCTTTCTCTTTTCATTTACATCACAGCCAGGAGGCTGTGACGTCACCTCCTCACAGTTTTATTTCAGGGGGGAAGAAAACCCAACCTTTTCAGCCCTGTATTAGTTTAAGGGTGGGAGAAGTCCTGCTCAGTCTGCTGGATGATAAAATACATGCGGTGCTGCCCTCTGCTGTCAGAAACATTTCTTACACCCCAGTGTCGGAGTCAGAGGTGGTTGATCATTGCCCCGGTGTAGATATTAAAATAGATTTTTTTTACAAGAAAGAAAACATATGCCCCGGTGTAGATATTAAAATAGATTAAAATAGATTTTTTTTTTGACTGTGATACATTTTTTATAGTAAACTTGTCATAAATATAACTAAAAGAGTTTGAAGCCAAATATTTCAAAATGCTAGTTAAAGTAGTAACTTTGTTTTTTATTTATATTTTTATTTGTTGACTGTTTAACTAGTTTCCCACAGAATCAAAGTAAAGCCAACATTATTTATTGTGTGACCAATACCATTTTAAACCAGCAGATGTCGCTGTTGTACTTTTTGTACATGTAGGTGTCGCTCTTCATCGTCTCAATGATGGTAATACAACAGCGACAATACGACAAGGAGCAGTTGTTTTATGATAAATGAATAAATTTATGAATGAATAACAATAATAATGAAGTTCAGATTTTAGAGACAGTTTAAGTTTAATCACCAACGAATAAGAGAGAGTTTGTAAAAACAGATAAATCAAAGAAACCAGCACCAGTGAACAATCTAGATGGTAAACAATGCTGGTGTTCAGTTTCTGTATATTTGTATTAATTATTCATTCATTCATCAAATCTCCACTCCTGGTTCCCTCCACCTGTAATCATCACATCTTTAATCATGTTTTTCCAACACTTTGTCTGAATCCTTACACCAAGTTTCCATGACAACTCAGCTGGGAGGTTGATGGAGGAGATGCTCACGATGATGATGATGACGACGACAGTGAACTCGGTGTTCAGTCATTTAAGGGTTGACTGTTAGCACTGTTAGCACTGTTAGCACTGATGTGACTCAACTCACTTGTCCTGGTTGTCTTTATCTTTGACGTTGCTGGTTAATTTTGTTACACTTCTGGACAACAAGCCTGCGCCCTGCTGTTCATTCAATTTATTTTCATTAAAAAATATCAATGATAATTGAGTAATAGTTAAAGGTTAGCAACGAAGCTAACAAAAGTCTCTAACTCTGTCGTAGAGTTTGTGTTCTCCCTGTGTGATGATATGAACATTTGATTTACTGAGATGAAACGTGAAACTAAACGGCATTGTGCTACAGAACTCTGTCCTAGAACCCTGTCCTAGAACCCTGTCCTAGAACCCTGTCTGCCTGTCTTTGACATCACCCTGGTACAAAGTCAAAGCTTTAAATCCTGATTTCCTAAATTAAAGAAGAAATGAGAGCGAACACTAACGAAGTCTGATGTCATTATCAGGTGGACGTTCAGGTTTGATCTGGAGCTGCTGGGAGAGATGCTTCCCTTATTTATACCCATGATCCTCTCTCATTAACCACAGCCTGTGTGTGGATCAGAGTAATGTGATAAATGACCAGACGTGTTCACCATGGTAATATATCCATCAGCCCCCACCGTGGTCACAGCTAGTGCAAAAATAGGACCGCATTAGACGTAACCTGCGTTAAACCTGGGTCCTGAGACAATATGAAAGTCCTAAGTGAATCAGCCAATAATCGGCCCCAACATTCAGAGCAGCTGTTAATGTCTGTAAGTGTCAGTCCTCCCTCGGGTCTGTTCTTAATGTCAACCACAGTAAGTCAAGACCAAGAACCCCAGCCTGGGTCGGTATACACCCCTGAGAGTGATGTATGTTCTGTAAAGTGTTTCTTTGGTCCCTAACCTGTTTCACCTCAGAAAAATCCCACGCTGCACCACCGTACAGAGTTGTCACAAAGAGTATTTTATATGAAATATGATCTGTTTTTAATAACTGAACTGGAACTCCTTAGTGTGAAACTCGCGTCTATTTAGTTGAAAACAATGCTGATATCCTGTCAGGAATTGAAGAAAGAAACACGTGAAGATCTTCTTCGACGGTTCTGAGTCTCTTGGACACATGGACAGAACAACCACATGTAAAAGCCCATCATTCCACAGTCCGTCCACTTCCACCTGATACACAGGTGGTTATTTACACACACTGTGTTCATTGAATCTGTTGGATCTTAACATCCCATCATCAACTGCCAGCATGTGTCTGTGGGTGCTTCAACCTGTGGTCAGCGGCCCGGCCTGTGTCAGGGCAGTCAGTCTTTGTTCCTGTACAGGAACCAAACCTCTTCACCAGAGTCAGTGAGCGTCTCTCATCAGCATTCAGAGCTGCAGACTGAAACCCCCAGTGTGTGTCGCCTGATTGTCCTGCAGCAGCTCCAGACTCACTCGAGCTTCGGTTCTCAGTAATGGGCCTGTTTGCAGGAATAAAGCTGATAATGAGCTCCAAAATAATTACTCTGCCTTTTAATTATAGATGCATGGCTGGAGGTGGAGCTGCTGGTGATTTATAGGAGGTTTGAGTCCAGTCTGTGGTGGTGACAGGAATACAGTCTGAACGACTGTGTGTGTAGCGTAAACAGCTGCTGTTGTTGTTCACAGCAAAGTGAACTCATCTGAGAAGAAGCTGCAGCTGTGTGTCGACCAGACCCTGACCAGGTCAGACTGACCACTGCTTCCTCCCTGAGGATGAACACATTTAATAAGAAGACGTTATTATCTGCTGTGGCAGGAAGAAGAAGAAGAAGAACTGTTTAAGTTTAAGTCCAAGTCCAAGTGAGTCCAGACAACTCCAAGTGAGTCCAGACAGGTCCAAGTGAGTCCAGACAGGTCCAAGTGAGTCCAGACAGGTCCAAGTGAGTCCAGACAAGCCCAAGTGAGTCCAGACAAGTCCAAGTGAGACCAGACAAGTCCAAGTGAGTCCAGACAACTCCAAGTGAGTCCAGACAGGTCCAAGTGAGTCCAGACAGGTCAAGACAAGTCCAAGTGAGTCCAGACAAGCCCAAGTGAGTACAGACAGGTCCAAGTGAGTCCAGACAAGTCCAAGTGAGTCCAGACAAGCCCAAGTGAGTACAGACAGGTCCAAGTGAGTCCAGACAAGCCCAAGTGAGTACAGACAGGTCCAAGTGAGTCCAGACAAGTCCAAGTGAATCCAGACAGGTCAAGACAAGTCCAAGTGAGTCCAGTTGAGTGCAGCCATAAAGATCTCCTGTGAAAATGTGAAATATTTCACAGTTGAACGTTCAGACTCCAGTTTGCGGGGGAGTCCTGTGAATAAGGTCTTTTCAGCGTTTCAACACAATGGTTTGTGAACATATTCTGAACAGAACAAACCGACTGTTTTCCTCCAGCTGTTTATTTCTGAACACTATTATTTTATTTCTTTCTTTCTGAAAGTCCACTGAGCTACATCTGCACTGAAACACAGAGCTGACGGGGTTAGTCCTGAGCACTACTGCCTGAGCTGCTGTGGTAACCTTTGACCCATGACATCACCCTGCTCCAAAAAGCATAAAATCCAGACTTACAAGTTTTTATTGTTAATAATATTTACATCAGTATTTAACAGTTTCCACTAAAATAGTACCTGTAGCAGTGGGTTCAGCTCAGTTCAGTTCAGTTCCGTGTCCTGGAGCTTTGTTTCCATCTATTTCCAGAATAAATTTCTAAAACAAACAGCGTTCAGTGCCAAACTGTCCATTTACTCACTGACCTGCAGATCAACACAGCTGACGGACACCGGGCAAACAGACGGACCACAGACACCATAGAAATAACATAAAAATGCCTGTGCCATTTTAAAGATGAATAAAAAAGATTATTAAAAAAATATTTGAATATTTAATTAAACATAAATTAATAGAACAAGTCATTAGCAAAGTTTAAAAGATGAGATTCGATCAATACAACGAGAATAAATTGATTCAGTTTGATTTTTTAATTTTCCGTCTCCTTTTTTATCAGCCAGCGGATAGGATGAACAAGGAGAGAGAGAGAGTGTGTGTGTGTGTTTGTGTGTGTCCCTGATATAACACAGGCGAGGGAGAGGGAGTGTGAGAGAAACCTACAGCAGTTGGTGAAGTGAAGGTCCGCCCGCAGCCTCACAGCTCGCCGCTCTTCACTCTCACCGTTCCTCAGCATATTGCCTCACGTTTTGCCTCGTGTCATGTGACCATCATGACCGTCGTCCTTGAAAATTGCAAGACCCGACTCCTTTATTTTTTCTGAGGGAGAGGAGGACTGTGCTGTGACTGAGGTAGAGGCAGACGAAATGAACTGAAGAGAATTTTCTCTTTTGAGAGCATCGGGGTCGGCCAGCAGAATGACAGAACTTCACGAGCCCTGACACCAGATTCAGAAACTCTAACAAACACCATGAACGCCACAAAGAACCATGGACCAATCCAGAGCTACCAGAACCGCAGCAAAGTCATGACCCTGGACTCTGGATCTACGGGATGCTACGAGCAGCTGCTGATCTCCACCGAGGTGTTCCTCACACTGGGCATCATCAGCCTGCTGGAGAACATTCTGGTGGTGGCTGCCATTGTCAAGAACAGGAACCTTCACTCTCCCATGTACTTTTTCATTTGCAGCCTGGCTGTGGCCGACATGCTGGTCAGTGTCTCCAATGCGTCCGAAACCATCGTGATCGCTCTGATCAACGGCGGAAACCTGATCATCCCTGTGACAATCATCAAGAACATGGACAACGTTTTTGACTCCATGATCTGCAGCTCTCTGCTGGCCTCTATCTGCAGCCTGCTGGCCATAGCCATCGACCGCTACATCACCATTTTCTACGCACTGCGCTACCACAACATTGTCACACTGCGACGAGCCGCGTTGGTCATCAGCAGCATCTGGACCTGCTGCACCGTCTCCGGTGTCCTCTTCATCGTCTACTCTGAGAGTCCCATGGTCCTGATCTGCCTCATCACCATGTTCTTCACCATGCTGGTGCTCATGGTGTCGCTCTACGTCCACATGTTCCTTTTGGCTCGGCTGCACATGAAGCGAATCGCGGCCCTCCCCGGCAACGCGCCTATCCAGCAGCGTGCTAACATGAAGGGCGCCATAACCCTCACCATCCTGCTGGGGGTGTTTGTGGTCTGCTGGGCGCCTTTTTTCCTTCACCTCATCCTCATGATCACCTGCCCCAGAAACCCCTACTGCACCTGCTTCATGTCCCACTTTAACATGTACCTCATCCTTATCATGTGCAACTCCGTCATCGACCCCATCATCTACGCCTTCCGCAGCCAGGAGATGAGGAAGACCTTCAAAGAAATCTTCTGTTGTTGCCAGGCCTCACTGTGCATGTGAATAAGAAGCTGCTGATGCTGATGCTGCTGATGCTGCTGCCTCTGCTGCTGCTCCTTGACAAAGACATAGATGACCTTGGATGCTTGACGATTTATCACTACTTTCACAAATTCAGTGTCACAAAGAAGGAACCATTTTTGTAACCGTATCGTTGAGACTTTCCACCACTCCGTGTTCTACGTTGTAAATAAGACCTTTGTTATCAGGAGCGACCTGACCATCAGCCATGTTCTTCATTGTCCTGGAGCTCAAAGTTTCCCTCTCCATCTACCTTCTGATTTGCCTTCAAAGCAACCTCACGACCTCCTGCCCCAGGAACTCGTACTCAACCAGCGTGGAGTCGGGCTTCCAGATGAACCTCATTGTGAAGTACTGACCTCTGGCGTTGTGAATCATCTACTGCAGAGGAACGTTGACGTACAGTGTCAAATCTGGTGTTGTTCTGTGGAACATTTCAGGCTTTTCTTCTTCTCAAGTGCAATTTGACCTTCGTGGTCAAACTCGACCATCTCTGTGGTCTTCATCAAAGTGTGAGATATTGAACCGATGCCTCCTCTGCTGCTCTTAAGTGCAGCCCTTAAGGGCTTTGAAGAAAATATGACCAGCGTGTATATGAGCAAAATGGACACGTACGTCTTTACTACTGCTACTACTACTACTACTACTCCTGCTACTACTACTACTACTAATACTACAACTACTACTTCAACCTAACATTCTGTACCATTAAAGAAGGTCAGGAAGCTGGACTGACCACATGTCCAATCAAGAACAGCCTGTGATGGTGTTGTCAGTTGACCCTGCTGAGGTGTTCAACCAGAAAGACTCGTCACTCGTCTGCTGTCGTTACAAACTGACTGTAACAGACTGTGTTTTCCGGGCTTTAAGTTGCACTTTTTTTCATTCCGTTGGCTGGGTTTGCGATTTATACTCAAGTGCGACTTATATATTATAATATGTAATTTCACATGTTTGTCATTTCCACTCTGACAGCCGCCGGAGGGCACTCTAGGCTTGTGTACCAGTATCTGCTACTCCAGTACCACTGAAAATGTACATGTTTGTGATTTAACACTGACAGCTGCTAGAGGGCACTGTTGCGACTTATACTCCTGAGCGACTCGTAGTCCGGAAAATACTATAATTTAATGCTAGTTCTCAGCATGAACTGGCACAGAGGCATTAAAGTAAGCATTGAGCACAACTATTTCTGTCAAACTCCAAAAAGCTACAATCAGTATTCTAGATACTTGAAGAGTTTCTACTGCAGATGTTATGGAACCTCAAAGATCTGTTTGCTGACGGTGGAGGTTCCTGATCACAAACTAGGGAAACCAGGAGAACGTTCCTCCAACAACAGGGTGACACAACAAATTAAAAACAGGAAACCATGACAGCTGACCAATGTGATTTGCACCTCATTATGAGGGTTTTTTTTTTGATAACCTTGCAGCACAAAACATAAATGTCAAAGTGAGTGCAGTGGAAGAAAACTCCACGTGTCATGAACTACGTCCATGTTTGTTTAGCTCGGACTAGAAGAAGAGGTGAACATGACTTTATACCAGCAAACTGAAGTAAAGTTGGGGCCCAGAGGAACAGAGCTGTGGACTGGTCCTCTGTGCTGATCAAACTGGAGGACTCTATGGTGCAGTGGTCAAAGGTGACGTGAGGAAGAAAAAGAATCTCATGTAGAACTGAAGAGAACCCCTGAAGTGTATATTTATCATATATATATATTTACATACGTACTAACCAGTACGTTTGAAGAGGATGTACAGGACAACATAGCACTTAGACAACGTGTCAATCACGGCGGTGGAGGCGGAGCTAAGATTCCCCTTGGGTCAAATGTTTTATGAACATCTAAATTCTGTCAGGGATTTCTCATGACAGGGTTTTTGTAAATGTTCATAACCTGTGACCTCAGAAGCGCGTGTGCTGCCCTCTACTGGTCGGCTGCTTTAAGTGTTCTTGGGGTGTCCTTGGGTGACAGAAAGGCGCCTATAAAATTATTATAATTATTATTAAAAAAACAGTTGTAAAAACCAGCAGGTTTCTGCGGTAGGTGTCGTGAATATTCCAGTGAATCTTCTTGTGAATTCGTGTTATTAGTGTGAACACACACACGTTGGTGGTTGGCAGCTTACACAGAAATCTATTTTTCCATCTTCAGCCTTTAGTTCTGTGATGGTGTTGTGCAGCTTCTAGGTGGTTGCCTTAACTCTGTAGCACTGTGACGTGACAGCAGCGAGACGGTTCCTCAGTCTGGTGGACATTCTCCAGCTGTTCTCCAATGCCGTCGTCAACTCTGCCTTATTTATTTATGTTTTTGACTATTTAAAAGTTGTTGTTTTTTTTCTCTTACTAAGCCTTTGGATCTCCTCCCAGGTGGATGTTCTCCTCCCCAGGGTTCTCCTGGAGTCATTTGTGCCAAAATGATGTTTGCTGCTGCAACTGAGTAAAATAAAGTGATATCATCTCTGCCTCTGTCTGTTTATTTTCTGTGTGATGTTGAACAGTTTCTTGGTTTCAGCTCATATTTGAACCGCCGCTCCTTTAGAACCAATTTATTTTCTCAGCTGAGACCAGGAAAAAAAACCTAAAGAAAAAAACCTAAAGGTTAACTTTAAAACACATATACTGTTGCCTAGTAACCATTACACTATGGAAGCTTTACAGAACATTTACCAGGTCCCGTTCTATAGAAAACGAAGGCAGTTTCAATGTTTCAATCACTTCTAACTGTAACTGAACCACACCGTGTATCTGAGAGGACGAACGGTTCGTATTATCAAGATAAAAGTTCTCCCTCCGTCATATCATCAAAGACCCAGCAGGAGTCACTGCGGCTGCAGGTTTCTCAGGGCAGGTCACAGAAAGATCTCCTTAAATACCTCCTCCTCCTCCTTCATCATCTCCATCATCATCATCACTCTGCTCCTCTGTCTGAAGATTACTGCTTCAGGTTCTGTTGATGCTACAACGATACCACTGCGTTAGCACAGATCCAGAGCAAAAAGAATCCGCAGAATCCGACTCCTGTCTGGTTCCTGTAGTTCATATGCCGGACCTGTGTGTGGCGCTGAGTGGGAGAAGATCTGCAAACACTCACAAAGACTGTGCTGCAGGTGTGCAGAGTGTTTTGTCCCTGACATTTGAAGGCGAAGTTTTTCTGTTTTATTCATAAAAAACACTTTAGTCAGAGAAGTCACGTGACCTCGTTCTGAAAATTCCTGAAATGCATGAAATTCAATGTGCTGTTTAAAAATGTTGAACAAAGACAGGGGCATTGTGGGATTGATTTTAGGTCATGGTAATGCTCCCTGGGTTTCTTTTCATTGGTTCTGTGTTCATTCATTAAACAACAAAAAAAAAAACGTATGAAAGAACTGTCATCATGTCACTGGAACATGATGTTTCATATTTAATTTGTTTTATTTTTGTTCTTTATTCAACAAAGATGAACATCTCTGACAGAAGATGAAGAAACCGTGGTGTGAACAGTAATCAATAAGTCCATTGATCGCCTCATGTTTGACACACTGTTGACACACTGTTGAATAATCAAATGTATTCCATCACCTGGACCTTCGTCCTGTTTCTGTGAGCGTTGCCATGACGATCCACATCCAGAGACGTCGTTGTATAAAGAAGTTTTATCTTAAAAAAAAGAAAACAAAGGCAGGTTGTTAAGCAGTTTCACACCAATCAGACGGCACCATCAAGGCCACTGCAGACAAAGCTGTGAGGAGTGAAGGACGCTCTCTGCTGCAGCTCGTCCACTCTGACAAACTTCTTAAATTCCTTCTTAAATTCTCTGTCAGTGGTTGACTCTTCACAGAGGTTCGTCTTAGAAACTTCTGACCAGCGCCGTCTCCTCCTCTTAGACTGAGGTGAAGATGTGATGATTCTCTGCTGATGTCTCATTTACCCCAACATTAGGACGAGTTTGAATTTTTATCTTTTTACTCCTGAGGATCATCTAAGCCCAGCACGTCTTCTCTTCACAGAGATGATCATGTTCCTTTTGAAATGTTTATTTTTCTTCATATTAATGAAGACTTTTCACAGTGGTTAATCTCTGTCTATTTTCTCTCTTCCATATTCTCCTGTAACAGAGACGTTCATCACGGTCCACCATTGTATCCAGTGATCATTACAGTCTCTCTCTGGTTCTAACACAGTCTCAGCCACTTCTGTCTGAGTTGTTTTGCCTCCATTGAACAGTGACGTAATGCAGAGACAATTTAAAACAATTAATTAATGAATTAATTGATTAATTAATAGAAGGTTAAAGAATTTCAAACAGCAGACACTTGTTACAGTAAGTGACCAGCACTGCAGGGGTGTAAGAAAATACTGATACACAGAAGTATTGCAATATTTGTTGAATTATTCTGTGTCCATATTCTACAGCACAGTATGGACTGTTTTAATACGGTCACATGGATCTTACATGTGGCTACCAGAAGAAGAAGTATCCTGGAGAATCCTGGAGTGTCCTGGAGTATCTTGGAGTGTCCTGGAGAATCCTGGAGTGTCCTGGAGAATCCTGGAGTGTCCTGGGGTAGGCTAGAGAATCCTGGAGTATCCTGGAGTGTCCTGGAGAATCCTGGAGAGTCCTGCGACTCTCTGTAGACGTTTCAGTCTCTGAGTTTTGTTGTTTTTCCTACAGACGTTTCAGGTCTTCATCTTCGTCCTCTGGTCTGGTCCTGTCAGACCTGGTCTTCAGCCTCCACCGCCCCTGAGGCTGCGGTGAATACTGATGACGGCTGGAGGTGATGGAGTCAAGCTCTTCTCTCACCTCTACCGCCTCAGTGGAACAGGAGATTCAAATGGTTCCTGGTACTGTTGTTAGAGTCTGATGTGACTTCAACAACAACAACATTCCTTAAAATTAAAAATGATACCAAAGCAAAAAAACAAAGCAAAGGTCAACGTTCATTTACTTTTACTCTCAAAAGCATCAACTGGATTCACTGTCCTGGAAGAATCTGTTTTTACTGTTCTGACAGAAGACGAACGCCACAGTTATACACAAACCGGACCTTTGAGTGGAATAATGTGTTGAAGCTGATGTTTTATTCAGCTGCTGCTGCTGCTGCTGCTGCTGCTGCTGATCCATTAGCTGCAGACTAATGGATCTGTTCACTAATTTCATCAACAGTTTCTTTCAAACTTTCTCAGTGTTAATGGATTTCAGCTCAGGCTGAGAGAAGAAGGACCAGTGATGAAGGACCAGTGATGAAGGACCAGTGATGAAGGACCAGTGATGAAGGACCAGTCCATTTCTGTGGTTCTGTTGTTCAATCTGACTGAAAAAAAACCCTCAAGACTTGAATAAAACAGAAAGTCACAACAAAACCAGTTGTATTTAAGGTTGGAGGAGAGATGACTCATCACAGCAGAGAGAGGAAACCGAAGATTCAAAAAATATAAAACATGTTTGGATCAGTTACATACTTCAACCAACTACAATAAAGATAAAAACCAGCTGAACGTCAGCCTGAAGATCAGCTTGTTTTTCAGGACAGTTTCAGACTGATGCAGATCCAGGTCTGAAGGAGGAGAGAAGGTTCTGTTTTATTATAATCATTATTGCTGTGGTCCTGATGTTTATACTCTATATTCTATCTCCATTCACAGCCCGTGGTCTTTGGACCTGGACCTGGACCTGGACCTGGACCTGATCTGTTCTCCAGTCAATTTTTCTTGGCGCTGTTAACGGCAGCACAAGAAGGAAAATAACAGGCTGTGATGATGAGGAGGGAGCTACGAGAGGAAAAGAGGTTTGATGGAAGTCACACACACACACACCCACACACACACCCCTGGTGAAGATGTAAATTATTCTTCCGTTGCATGTTTTCTCTCTCTGAATGAAAATGAGGGACATTTGACTTTTTAAAATTCAGACCACAGTTCAAATGGAGAAGAAAATGTTTCTGCTCAGATCAGAGGTTCTCATCGAGGTTCTGACGGCAGTCGCCGTCTACACGGCGTCAGAATGAAGCAAATCAAGTCCAGGGTTTTACGGAGACCACTAGTGGTTCTCTGACATCACTGCGACCAGATAGCACAGCACAGCACAGCTGCCTCGGAATGACCCTTTAATTATCACCAGCCGACCCCGGCCTGCTCTGCAGGCCAGAGGTTGATGTCATGGCCACGATGCAGTTCTCATCAGGATCAATAGGAGAATTATTGATCGCTGCTGTGTCACAGGTTCGTGGTGGTTAGGAGCACAGAGTCTTCTGACCAGGAACCTAACGGCGCCTCTTGTGGCAGCCAGTGTCAGTTGCAAAGACAATTGTGCAAAGAAAGAAAGAAAGAAAAAAGCCAAAGTAGAACAACATGATTTACCACTGCTCCACCGCGGCGCTGCTGACGTACCTGCTGCCACACACACACACACAAGTTAGAGATTTTGTCTGATTCATTCATTTATTTATTTTATTTATTTTCCAGAAGAAAAAACACACACAAAGGTCATGAGGCTGTGGAGATGATTTTAAGTGTTCTGAGAAAATCTGACTGAGGCGTGCAGAACCAGGAGAGACACAGATCTCCATCATCACCTCCAGCTGTGTGTCCGTCTGAACCTTTCACTGCTCTGATGGAGCGACTTCACGGTGACGGTGGAGCGGTACTCCAGTGAGTTTTTTTTAACCCACAGTGACCTGGTCCGGGTCAGACTGTCCCAGGTCGTCCACGTAATACCAGCCCACACTGAGGCCAGTGCTGAAGTCCAGCAGGAAAAACAAACAAGTGTCTCACGTCACAAAAGCTGAACGAAACTGTGGGGAAAAGAACAGAACAAAAAACTGAAGATCAGAACATCAGACAGAATCTGATCTTGTCACGAAAATCAAAAAATCACCAATAAAAAATCTCACGAAAATCAAAAAATCACCAATAAAAAAACTTGTGGTTCTCACTTTATACCACAGTGACAACGTAAACATGTGATTTGGCAACTGCGTGGTCCAAACTCTGGCACCTCCGTGGTCCAACCTCTGGCACCTCCGTGGTTCAAACTCTGGCACCTCCGTGGTCCAAACTCATGAGGTTTGGGAATGATTTCATGAATCACTCTGAACTGGTTTTGAAGCTGTATGAAAAGGTTTTCTCTCCCTGATTCAGACAGTTGGTCCACACGCCCACGGAGACGTCCATTATCAGAGACACTGTTTATTAATGCTGTCTTATTGTGGTGGAACAAGTGCTAATGGTTTCAGAGAGGGGTTCACTCTGGGGGCAGTTTGTTCTGCTCTTTCATTCGGCTTTTTATTCTTCATCTTAAAAAAAAAAAAAAAACATGACATTTAATTTTAAATAAATAAATAAATAAAAAGCGGCCAGAACAGAAATGAGGAGTGGGAGTTAAAGATGGTGTAGGTAATGCAGAAACTCAGTCAGTTATTATATAATATATATATATATATATATATATATGATTGGTGGACACGCAGGTTTGTGTGTTTGTGATCATTTGGTCTTTGATGAAAGGAAATTGTGTGTTCCCAGGTGTGTGTATACAGGTGTGTACAGTTCAGTGCCACTGGACCAAACTGCAGCATCATTACAGGAGAGACTCCTGCTGCTGATGGTGAAGCCTCTCCACAATCTCTCTTTCCATTTAAGGTAAATGAAATCTTCTCCTCTGTGGCTCCTTCATCTCCTCCTCCTCTTCCTCCTCCTCCATCTCCATCATCCCTGAACCTTCTCTGTGATCCCAGTGGAATGGGATTCGATCTGATTTGAACACATCGTGTAGACAGCAGTAAGTTTGACTCTAAATGTAAAGAACCAGAGTCTGCTGGTTTGTCTTCACTTCTGTTTGGACTTTGAACAGAGCTAGAACAGTCAGAGCTAGAACAGTCAGAACTGCAGGTTCTGAGCACTAATGTTAAAAACTAATGTTTTTTAAGGTGTAGAACAGATGTGTTACCTGAGCCGTTCCGTTCAGTTTGCTGTTAAAAAAGGACCAAGCTCTTTGTCCTGAAGCCTAAACCTCCTCTTCCCTAGTTTAGATGCTTAGCTCAGCCACGCTGAACCCAATGTGCACATTCATTAGTACCAGGCACTGAGGAATAAATAAAAATATATTATCCAGAAAAAAAAAACTTCATTTCATTTGACAAAAAGCTGCTGTGCATCAACGGACCGCCGACACTTCAATCATTTCCCTGAAAAACATGTCAAGTGTTTTCCATTAGTGAAGCAGAACTGCTGCATCCTCTGGTGATCACTTTCATCAGAGGAACATGGACCTGGATGGTGGACGCACAATTATGTCCAGCATTAGACATGTAGGTAAAAACATCATTAGAGAGAGGGAGGAAGAGAGAGAGAGGAAGAGAGAAAGAGCAGGAAATGTGATGGAGCGGAGATGCATCATCACTGCTATTA